AACTCCCTCTTACAGTAATATTTTTTACCTTTAGTCATATTGCACCTGACCATTACCTTACGAACGTGAATCCCTCATTCCAGTATGTATGCGTTGATGGGACGCTTTTAAATGCAAAACCAATCTAGTTTTCTTCACATATCTGTTTATAATTACCATATGAACTCCTCTCCAAGTTTCAATGCAAACATTTGGGAACTAGAAGACTTCTTCTGGAAATTCTAGACGATTGGAGAGTTTGGGGGCTGCAATATTGTGCATTACGGGCTTCTTTGTCTCTGAAGAATTCCTCATGACGAAGTATTCCTAGGAGTTATCCCATTGCTCACGACAAAGCGGGTTTACTGGAAGGGCATCGTTGAGGAGCTGCTGTGGTTCATTCGCGCCGACACCAACAGCAATCATCTTTCAGAGAAAAACGTCAAGGTATGTTTCAGCTTTCCTACACAATGCCTTGTTATACTCAATCGTACGGGGTGCTTCTCCTTTATCACCTGCGATGCCAAAGCAGTAGCTCTCTTTGCTTGTTGTTCCCACTAGAGTTTTATCTTTTCTTGGAAAACTTTGTGAGATCCAGCTGGAGAAGCATTGCAAGACGGAGAGCTAAAGGCCCTTTCGAGCATAATCACCTCGCCATGAGTACCTCCTAGACCTACTGTTTTACATAATCGAACACAGCGCTGTTCGGGACATGGGATTGCGGCGGGGCGCTCAAATTGGTCAGTATTTGCTAGATAGTTGACTCTTGTCAACACAGCAGTTTGGCAGTGAATCAGAAGTTTTTGGAGGAGATGCAGCGACGCTTTTGGGGACCCACGCTCTGCCACAATGTGGACGTCCTGATGGTCAAAAGGCCCGATCACAAAATGCAGAGTGTAATGCAATTCCGCAGTAACGACATGTCAACTGTAAGGCATGAAGACGGTTGCGCTACGTTTAGGGATTTGAGTCTGTCGGCGGTGTGGTCAGTTGTTCTGTTACACTATCCCTTTTTGTGTGATAAGGTAGTTGAGAGTAAATTCGAAAGCGCCCAATCTATCAGTAGACGACCTACTGCCACGCTATCGCACACCTGTGCTTCGTCTAGCATTGTCCCTTTATGCGGAAGGTACCATCTTTTTTCCAGTTCTTTCACCTCTTGATAACATTCCGCGACGGCAGATTGAATCTCTGATAACCCACAAAAATGAAGGCTAAATTG